CTGAATAGCTACATGAATTCATGATATTGTTGCAGATTTTGAGCCTTCAATCGATTGGAACACTAGTTTTCTTTTAATTCAACACCAAAGATTTTGCAATCTGAGCCAGCTTTTTGTACAACGGGTTAAAGTTCCTGTGATACTCTTCGCTGAAAGCTGATGCTCTTTCTGGAATATACAAGTGAGTTATAGTCCAGACGAGTATCTTCGAGGGAGCAACTTGATCAGAGCTGTGGAATCCGGTCAGTGGGAGGGAGGTATTTGAATGACAATCGTGGTGGAATGTTTGGCTTGGCAAGCTTTGAAGATCAGATGGGAAGGCTCCGTTGTTCCGGACATCCTCTTACGAAGCCGAAACCGAGCTTTGCCCTATACGAAGAAGTGAGAAATCGTCGGACAACTCAAAACATCCTTACAGATCACGCCTACTTCACTATGTCTGTCTATCGATATTCGGTACCTCGGACGATGCTTCTCGTTCCCTCCACACAAAACTCCGGTCTTTCGCTGAACGGAATTTTCAGTCATCTTTCTTCATGGATGGACATCGTTGTGTGAACGCTAGTCTTTCAATTCCCAGGGTTCCTATCGATATCCCAATGAGACGTTTTCCAAACGGGACTCAGTAGCATTTTGAGCGGCAGAAAAACTCAGAGCCGGATAGTTAAAGTGGTTTATCACTTGAAAATTTCGTTGCTTAGAAGAATCTACTCCTTTCTTACCTTCCAAAAACTTAGCTTATTCTGACCATCTGTGTTGTGCACATCTTATGCACTTGTGCCGCAAATTTCCCAGTAAAACACATACATCACCTCAGTGAAGACTTATATTACCTCCGCTTCCTTTTCATTTACATGGTTATGGAAAAAAGAAAATAGAAAAAAAGAATGACTCAAACATCTTATGGAGCTAAGAAAACCTTTCCTAAAATGAAACACCTGATGCGTGCGTGGATCACATGGCTTACAAATGTACACTGTTCCCTGATTATTTCGTTGATATAAAAAATATTAAAAACACTAAGATCTTATCGATCGGCATGCGATTACTAACTGACTGGCCAGGGCGGCCGACAGGAATCCCCGTCGCGCGGCAAGAGGGCAGAGCGATGCGCAGCGCGTACTGTAGTGATTTCGCGTCAAGTTGAACAGAGAGTACCACTGTACGTCCTAAATCGCACAGCACGCGCTGTGACGGGCGACGGATTTCTGCCATGTCCGGGCTGGCACACGGCAAATTGCGCGGTGAGCAGCGCGGCGAACCGGACCTTCGTGGGATTTTGCTGTGGAGTTCAACACGTCAAGGCGTGTGCAGATTGCGGATAAAATCCGCAAGGTTCTGCAATTCGAATTACATCCCACACATGGCGATTTGAGGATCGCAGCGATGGTAAGGAAACCTCAGTAGGAGGAGATGAGACAGAGCTAGCATAGTGTGTTATGGTGCTGTTAAATAGACGATGAGGGCGCCTCATGTCGTTCAGGTAGACCGTTTCATCGGGGGGGTGTGATGAGGCAATACTATGTTAGGAAAGTGAGCCTCAAGGAGGGGAAGAGATCCTGAGGAGGCGATCTGTGCCTCTCTGGCGTTTATCCCCTCTCCTGGGCTTGGTCCTGAAGTCTCCTACCATCGGCTCTGTTTGGATGTTTCCCTGAGCGATAGGCCGTGATAAGCAGCATATATAGTTGACACTGAATAAATCGCAGCAGAAACTCTTATTTTTAGTGTTTCTTATTCGTTAAGTCGATAGTAGTGACATTTACACGCGAATCCTCCCTCATGAAAATCCCCTCTTGCGCTGAAATCTTCTCACCGACACCGCAGCTTTACATCTCCGCGCGAGGAAAGTTTTACCAAGCTGCAGAATCATGTAGAGTTTATCGGCAGGCTGCACACGCTTTGACCTTTGAATTCTACTGCAGGGCTAGCGAAGCCTTGCATCGTCGCGCAACTCGCGACTGTGCAGGCCTGAATGAACCAAATTCATGCACCCCGCTGTGACTCTTCGCTGACTTCTTGTCGTGCGACGGGCCTCCTGTCGGGTACCCGACTGGCCACATGAGCAGCCACCAGAGTGAATGTGTTGAACAGCTGCTTTCTGTACAGCTGGATTTGTTTATTGAAGCCCACGTCGAAATAGGGTGACATTCGATAATCAAAGTAAATTTCACAAGAGCTTCAACAGCTTTCACGAGAGCACAAATAACAACAAGAAGAAATCGGTGGGATATGGAAATTTCTCGAACTTCTTCAGGAGTTCTACAAAAGCGTTTTTTACGAATCATATTTTCATTTTCTCAAGGTCACTTTATACAATACATCGTGCTTCCGAATTCCTATTTGGTTAAATAACTGCTGCGTGAATTTAAGACAAATCCGTAGTTTTTAGGCTGCTCTAGGCTAAATTTTGGCAGTTTTCAAGATTTTGATTACAATTGTCCATCAATGATACTCGGTCTCAGGACTTCTGTCAACCGCGAGTCCAGAAGTTCATCGTTTCTGTGGTGCTGTCTGGGAGCTCACGAACGCACACTATTGCAAAATCTTTGCTTTCCTAAATTCCTTCAAAAGGCTTATGTTATTCTTAGTACTACGCAAAGCGATACTTTTCCATCTATAGCGGTTATTTGACTCTCGCCCCTGGTTGACAAAAGCCTTGTGACCGCGATACTCTTGCGTCCTGCCACCTGCTGTGGGTGTGGTTCACTAGGACAGAAAGCGACTTTTTCGCGTTTCGCAGCGCGAAACATTTTCGCTGCGGGAACCTCAGGTCCACCGCTGATCATCAGTGGACCCGAGGTTCCCGCAGCGAAAATGTTCGCGCTGCGAAACGCGAAAAAGTCGCTTTCTGTCCTAGTGAACCACACCCGCCTTCTATTACCACGCCTCTCTTTCGTTCTGTTACGTTTACACTTTCCAGGACCTCTTTTAGAGCTCGTCATGATTGCAACCCTGTAGCTTTGCTAACTGACCCATAAACTGTCGATTAGTCATTTTTGCACAGATGAGTGACCCGTTTTGATGCACATCATATCCTCCAACTTCCTCAAATGCATCACGGAGTGCCAGACCATAGAGGAACAGCGCATCGTACAGAGACATGTAAGTCAGCGTAGCAAACTGTAAACAATGGATGGAACAACATTTTGTGAGACTCAATCTCTCGTTACTCATTACTTCTACTCGCATTCAATTTCTGAAAAAGAAAGCTAAAAATGTTATACCTCAATGAAGTAAAATACTGTATGTGCTCATGCAGTGCTGACAGTACTTATGCAGGGGCAGTGCAAAGTGGTGTGTGGAGTACGTCAGTCATCAGTGGTGGTGCCGGCTGGTGCAACCATGGTGTTCCACTCGTGTTTGGCTGCACAGTCTCAGCATCATGTGCATAGTGCTGCCTTTAAAGTACTCACGTGACTGCCAACAATTCCAGTGACGCGACTGAATTTATCTTGAAATTCTTCGTAGAACTTTCTGTCATAACCATGAGCCGTGATGATGATGGCATTCTCGAACGCCGCTTTCACCTCTTGCTTGTCGACGGTCGTTGCTTCCCACGGATAATGATCGCTCGTCTGAATTTTTTTGCTGCGTATTCAAATCTCACAGTCTCAATCTCAAATCTCAATCTCAACTAATCGACATAGGAAAATTGCTGTAATCAAAAGAAGCAAAGCATAGTTTACTGACAATTGTTCTGATATGGTGAAGTTTTTAGTTATCGAAGAAAATGC